CAGTCATGTGTAAGGACATGCACAAACGAATGTGTAACCATGCTTCAAATCAAATCTAGATTTGATTTTTGCATGCCAAGTGTGTGGCATTAACCACAAGCATGCCCTTCCCCTTGTAAAGACTGAAGTTCCTGTTTAAATGTATTTAGCTTGGAGTAACCCGTGTATCTCTGTTCTTTGTTAAAATCAGAGTTTCATTCTTTGGGATCATTTAGCACGCACCAAACTGTGTGTCCCATGCTTAAATTACTTCCTACTGGCTTAGTGGTAGCTTGGGATTTCTGTATCGAGGGGGTGTAAGTCTACCCTAAACAGTTACTGGACCAGAACTGTCAAAACTCTGTTTTTGTGGTTTGTATATTGTTTTCTGACCACATCCAGTCAGGTTTTTTTCCTGTCATATAGATACAGCAGATAAAAACTGGACTAGTTATTAAAAAATAATAATAATTCGTGTATGAATGACAATGTTTTTCTAGCTCCTTTTTTAAGCACACATAGTCATAATCAAAACCACAAAAGCAAATATTTCCTCTTGCTCATTACCAAGCACGATTCAGAAGCATGGGAAATCTTTCATAGACGCTGAGCTATTGAGTGCCACACAATTCTAGTAAAAATTTACAGGAAAGATTTCAGAGAAAGTTAAATTGGATTATTAGGTGATGTGGGTTGAATTTCCCTCTGTGGAAGTGTTACTGCTGCTGTCCCAGAAAACCACAAGGATCTAGGCAGCCATTTAGTGGTTCTTTTACCCTGAGCAATGGGTTGCAGGAAAGATCTTAGCATTCCAAGTTCAGCCGGTACAGTGATGAGAATGATCTGGAAATTGTTGAGACGTCTGTCTGAATTGTTAAAGCCCAAAGAGAGAAGCTAAAAAAATAAATCTGTCCCATAGCAACTCCTGGCTCAGAGGCACTAGTTGTGGTAGAACGGGAAAAGCCATCTGACTCACTGAGTCAAATGACAAAACACTTATGAAGGCTGAAGCTGTTAAGGCAGTTTCTACTAAATGCGTGCTGTTTTGACAATGCCAACAACTAGTTTCCTCATTTTATGGCTGCAGTACATTATCGTGGTGTATTTTCTTTAATTTGAACTTTTTAAGATAAATAAAATTTATTTATGCAAGCTTGGTGGGGAACTGGGACATTTGGTAATCGGTGCACGTCACATTGTAGAGCAGTAGATGTCTGCTGCCAGCCTCATTTTTGTTGGTACCACATATTTGATTAATAGGTTCAGAAAAAAAATCTTGTATCTGTAATTTCTAAAAGGTTCATGAAATGTTTACCAGGTGACTCCTGGCTGCCGCCATATGGGATCAGGGTGAAGCACTGCTGACAAAGCATGCTTTCTATTACTGCTTCCCTTTTCCATCAGCTGATATGGGGTAGGTCTTTTGAACCGCACACTGCTGTCGGCTGAAAGGATTATGAGATTCAAATAGTTTTCCACTACTGTCAAATCCAAATGGTTCCTTTGCTGTGATGCTAATATTGTTGATTGTCTACAGATACACAAATATGGCAATGCTTGACCATGCCTTAGGGTCTGATCCCATATTTTCTTTGGATGTGTCTTGAGTGTAGATGCTTTGTTGTGGCTTCTGCCTTCTCTCTGGCTGGGTTTCCCTGCCACCTCTTTGTGATACCAGGAAGGTTTGTGCAAAAGCGCAAACTGAGTAAAAGAAGAGGTCTGCCTGAAAATTAACATTTTTAGCCAGATCAGTTCTCTGTCTGCCACCAGAAGGCACAATCCTGATTACTCCTTGTCTGAGGGCTTCTTTTCAGTCTGTTCAGCAAGCTGTTTCAACTTGCACCTAGACCTGACACATGGGAAGCACTGGAAACACTTAGCTGGAAATAGTAGGGGAACGAGTGCCAGCAGTGAAGTCTTAAATTGTCTTAAGCCCATCATAAAATCATCATAAAATCGCACTCTCAGTTAAGTAGAGTACAGTGTGTGAGGTATGGAGCTCATTGTCGGACCAAATTTGTCAGCTGCTCAAGTGTACAGCGTTTCTTGGGGGTTTTTTTAAGGCAATGTTCTTTCTGCCCTTTTATAAAAAACATATTTTTGAGAACCTCAGCTTTACATAGGAGTCGGGTTTTAAGAAAATACAATGCTTGCAATCAAAGGACTTTGAACAGTATGGTGTTGGATGCAGTTTGAATGCTGACATGCATTGTACAGCTTTTGATTTACTGGTGATTGCTGATGGGAGTTTTAGTGAATTACTGCACATTGCAGCTCTGTACAGAATCTGATATTAATACCAAAGATTGGTGTCTGGGTTCTTGCCAAGTACAATGATCCATATCTTTCTTTAGGAAAACGTTATGATTGGGAAGGACGTGCAACTTTGCAAAGCTTAACTCTTCTAAAGTGGAAATCTGCAGCCATTTGGAATACTGCTCTCGCTCTGTTTCAGTTTCAGGCCCTCTTCCCTTCCCTACCCCCTTAAAAAGTGAGGCGACTTTTTTTTTAATTCTACATACAATAGAAAAGAACAATAAAACAAATTAATGTAATAGCTGAGCATTAATAATTAATGCACCTTCCCTGTATTTCTCCACTGGACTGAATTTAGCAGCAATATAGGCTGTTACATAAAGTCCCGCATCTTACCCTGATGGCCCAGGCTCATTCGTGCCAGTAGCATCACCGGACTCACTGGGGCAAATCCTGCGAGCAGCAGCTCACCGTTGTGCTTCAGTTCCCCACTCGGGGGTTTCTGAGTAATGTTTCTTCTTGTGTGTTTCTGAAAGACACAGAATGACAATTGCCAGCTGTGTTCCACAGATCGGGAATACTTTTCAGGGTATCAAAAGAAATTTTCCTTACTGTTTCTCTTATGGGTATTGGGTCTCCTGTGAGAATTAATCTCTGTGTGATGAAGCCATTTGAGCCCCTCGATGGGCAAATAGAGGTAGATTGTGGCTTTTGAGTGAAGACAGCTAAGACAGTGAAGACAGTTTGAAGATGCCAAATCATGTGAACCTGGTTTGTGGCATGGACACATGTGCAGACTGAGACACCAAGACAGCTCTCAAATTGTGGTGAGCTCTGTGGGAGGGAAGAGGGTAAATGACAACAGTTGACATCCAGGCAAATATCCCTGAAGGTGTATGAGTACACCAACATTTTGGGGTTCTTGCTTTTCAGCAAGTTAGTAGCTAAGTCTGTGGTTGAGGAGAGTATTGAAGTAAGACTTCAGTGCTCTCCAGAGGGTAAGCAGATGATAAGGATTTTTTTTTTTTAAATTGAAATTCTGACTATTTCTAGCACTGCTGTTGCCAATGTAACATATGGTGTCAGCAGCATATTTTGAGGGAGGAGAACACCAGGTTGCAAGAGCATCATGCAGCAAGAGTAAAGAGCTCATGGAGAAGATCACAGCATTGGTGGAAAAATCCTTATCTTAGGGTGTGTTTGTGGGGAATTGCCAAGCAGTTTGCTTGCTTGTAACCATGGTGTGAAAGCACCCACTGTGGGTTCCCACAGTTTGTCTGCATGAAGATCCCATACACCTTCTTCTCAGAGTTGGGGGTCTTTTTTTTGCTGGGTGCTTGATACACAGTAAAGCACAGCCTCTGCTTTGACATGCCTACAGGCTCCATAAAGCCTAGGTAGAACACACAGACACAGCAAGGAGAAGGCTGTAGTGTCAAAGACGTGGGATTACACAGCCAGAAACACGATGTGGCACTCCTGTCCCTTTCTTTTTAGCCCGTTTTTGAAGGGAAACATGATGTGAACTTGTGTCATCTTTCTTCATAGAGACACTAACTTCCCACAGGTTTTGTCGGAACTGGATGAAAGGCAGTGGGACAAACTTTTGTCTCCATGGAGAAAAAAAGCTGTAATGTGAGTTCACATTACCTCTTCTCCTAACCTGCAGCTGGACAGTCAGCCCACAGGCAGCAGCACACACATACCTTTATACCAAGTGTGAATTGCTTCTTGTCTGCCAGGTAGTTAGGGGATAAGTGAGAAAGCTGCAGTACTGTGAATGAGGAGATGAGGGAAATAGGCGCTGAGAGTGTATCTGTGACCTAAGGAGTCCCTGACTCTTCGCTTTGCTATGAGCAGTGAGCATCCTGACTAAAGAGTCAAAGTTGGTTTTGGAGGATGTAATGGAAGACATGATAATCACATAGTTCAAGAGCATTTCTTCCATAACGCTCATCACAAAAGCATCTCATTTGTTGACAAAGTGGTACAGCAAGATAAGATACTAGAAGAAGAATGATCTTCAAGATAAGCACGTAGACCCACAAACTTTCCTCCCAGTTTTAGTTGCATAGCTGAGGCACCCGAGATGGAAGCAGAGTTACATGGTTCTCACTACACTTCTGGACAGTGAAGAGTGATGGGCCTTATCTGAGGTTTGATTCTGTCTCTCACCATGGACTACCAAAGTAGCCCAGGACAGCCAGCCTCCTGCTAGAGGGACATCTGTCAGGTACCTAACCTTCCATGGGATGACTCTGGGACGCGATGGTTGTGTTTCCTGTGAAGAAGAAGAGTGTCATATGGTTCTGAAGGCAAGCCAAGATGGCGATCTTGGCACCATAGACCGTATGACTGCAAACAGGAGAGTGAGTGTCAGGGTGCAGTTACATGATCAGCTTGAGATGCGTAGCTACACAAGTATCCAGGCCAACAAAAGGCAGTGGGCAGGAGTGCGTGGAGAGATGAAGGATGTGAGATGGAGTGAGTTGGCCCCTTTCAACAGCAGCTTAAGTTGAGCATGAGAGGCTACCCTTAGGCAGGGAAGGGGAATGTAGCTGGTGGGGGAGGGATGAGAATTCACTGGGGGCTGTAGCACAGTGGGGAGTTTCAGCAATTGCTGCACCATCTAACACCAAACGTACCACATGATGAGATCTGCCATTGCCTTTGCTTGATCACGCAGGGCCTCTGTGGGCATTAAGTATCACTTTTTGATAAGATTCATTCCTGCAGGGTTGGCTGCATGCTGTACACTAAGGGCAATGACATCTCGTAAGACTGTTCATATTAATGTACTGGAGAAAGCTTTTTATCTCCATCAGGCAGATAATGGGCTTAATTTTCCAGCTTTAATTTTGCTCAATACTTTTTTTTTTTTTGGTTCTACAGCAACTGGATAACAGCTCAGAGAGCCTATATCATGTGCCCATCTGGAGGAGCAGATTGACCATTTTGCCATGCTTGTCAGTATGCCGGTCTGCTGTACATTGTCTATACTACCTTAGTACGCATGGAGGAGTGAGCATCCTGGCACCATTATCTCCATTAGAGAACATTCAACTGCAGCTCCACAGGAAAATGCTGCTCTGATGGGAGCGTGAAAGAGGTTTCTCCTCTTGCCGCTGTGCTGTGCAGAATATCCCCTTTCTTATTGCTTCTGAACATCCTTCATGAGTTTGAGGTGGTGTGCAAAGCAGGGCATGCTGAGAAGCACATTATCCTGCAGCCCTGCATTTGTCAGACGCTATTAAACAGC